TAAAAAAAAAAAATCAAATCCCAAACTGTCGTTAGTCAATCATGCTTCATTGCCTTTTCGTTGAAAAAATTATCTCAGTTATACTCCAAAAAGCTTCAGTCTCTTATCAAATGGTTCAAAATGTGTCCATATATTTCAAGCCAAAAAAAGCTCCATGCACGGCCCGTTTCCCATTCCCAAAGAAATTTAAAGGCAAATCAATCACATTTCTTGCTATTGTCTGTAATCACGCCACCGTTTATTTCCAGCTCCGCCCATAGCCCTCTCATCTCTATTGCCCCGGTAATATTGGTCCGGTAAGTACTCACGACCTCTAGACGGGCTCTCACCGGGGCTCCAAGACTCGGGTCCGGGCCAGGGCCTGCCAGCCAGGTTGTTTCTGCCACCTGGCGGCCCAGCTGCGTAAGCATTGTACCCGTTTTCATTTCTAGTGTGTTGATAGTGATAATTCGGGTCAAAACCCTGCCGAGCCCTCGACAAGTTCGAAACCGATTGTTCGGAAGCATAATACCCATTTGAATCGGCCCAATTAAGATTCGGGTTAATCGGGCCGGGATTTGGCAACATTTCCGTAGTCAAATGTTGTGCATGTTGCAGAGTGTTAAATCTACTTTGTTGGTGGTACATTTGTGTGGTTAAGGGCAACTGAACAGAAGTTTGGGAAGCTGTCAAATGGGCTGAATGCTGACTAAGCGAAACGGGCTGAGCGAAACCCGTGGTCTGATAAATGCTGCCGCTTGCCGACGTTTGCTGCCGCGAAAACGGGTTTCTCGAGAAATCGGGCCTCGATCCATTCTGCACCAAATAAGGAAAATTTTCACGTCATAGCTAGAAAAGAAGTTGTTAATCAGTTGCATTTATAACTGCGGATTATGAAAATGAGGAAAATGCCTGTTATTTCTACGTTAAAATCTGAAAAGCTGTTTCTTTTTTCTCTCTCTTTTTCATTATTAGTCTCTCTAGTCTGCATTGTTCTTCCCGTGTTCAGTTAAGTCTTAATTTTATCTTATATGGAACAGAAATTGTCTCAACTTAAATGACTCAATGTGTGCAGTTTTGTATCATTTGCTTTCCTCCCTAATATTTTCATTCAACTCCGAAATGAAAAAAAAAAAAAAAAATAGGTAAATGACTGCTAAAATACACAGACACTAGAGAAAGACTGATTAATATAGACCCAAAGGAATTTCCTTGAAAATTTCCCAAAAGTTGTGTACACAACAGTGTGCTAAAATTACGCACCGGGACAGGCTCGCACGAGGGGGTAGGAGACGGTAGTGAAACCTCGACTTTACTGTCGCCATTATTCCCAGCTAATTTACTCAATGAATTCGCCCCGTTCGCTTTTATCATATCGAGCAGTTTAACAGTCATGTCGTTCGATAAATTACCAGCTTGCCCCCCAGATGTCAAAGCGAAAACCAACTGAGGGTTTTTCAACAGTTCGGCCAGTAGCTCAAGATCAGGTACGGGAATATTTTCAGATGATGACGTGGAAGCAACTGAGCCCATAGTTTCAATTTCACCATTATGAGAAATTGGGGGTGTTTCTAAAGGCTCAACGTCTGGCGATTGTTCGATTGGGATTTCGGGTGTTAGTGAGTCATCAGGGTCCATTTCACGGTCCCAGGGTTCTTTTGGGTTGGACGGGATTTCTTGGGTTGACCTGTAAATTATTTCTCTCTCTCGCCTGATTCGGTTTTTCTGGACTTCGACTTCTTTGCTGCTAGCACCATCAGCTACACACCACTCGTCCATGATTTTGAGTTCTGCGCAAAAGAATGCAAATGGTCGAATGCCTAAATAATGACGGCCAATGAGGTAAAAAAGCTGGATTATGACCCATTACTAGGGTTGTAAACAAATCAAACATTTTCGATTGGATTCGTGGAATTCAGGATTCATATTCGAAATAATTCAAACTCATTCGAATAAGAATTAAGATTAATGTTAAGTATTCGAAATTTATTCGGATCCGAATCCGAATATGCACATACTCTGATTCGAAATTGTCAAATATTCGATTTCTAATAATAATTACATATAAATTAATATATTATATATGATATAATATTGAATTTACGTAATGTATATAAATATATTCATAAATATAAAACACAAAAAGTATATTTATATTTAAAAAAACTTACAAATTTTATTTAAAGATGTATTTAGAAAAATGTAAAGTATATCTATACATTTGTAAATAATTTCTGAAAACAAATTTCGAAGCGAATCGAATATATTCGATTATCTAATCGAATCGAATACGAATACAAATGGTCGGATATTTTCACGAATTCGAATCGAATAGACGAGTATTCGCTTCGATTCGATTCGAAGTTTCTTCAAGTGCTAAGAAAAATTTTTAGATTAGAAGAGTGTGTTACGTGAAATCGCCTTTTGAGAATATTAAAAGGACTAGTTTGACATGAATTAAAACTCGCCACACTCAATCACTTCTAAGCTTCGGTGAAATCGCCTTTTGAAAATATTACAAGGACTAGTTTGACATAAATTAAAACTCGTCACACTCAATCACTTCCAAGCTTCGGTTGCCGCATTATTATTTTCAGTCTACATTTGTTTGTGTGGGCCTTTAACAAAAAACATAGTATTAAAATCAACCCTTTTGCTAGAAGTTACTAACTTTAACCTAATTTGTATTGCAGTTAACATCACTTCACTTTTATTTCTATAATGAACCAACACCATCTTAAGTTGGGGCTTCGGAAGGCAAATATGATGGTACAACTGAAACACATTGCTTCAAACAGCACAAAGCAAAACAAATTGCAAATTTCAACTTCGTTGAGCGTCTAATGAACCTAAATTTGAAAAGAAATCGGTTGGCACAAATTACTATATCGCCTCTTATTTCACATATTGTAACAAGAAATGATAAGACACTCTAAACCAAAACAGCAACCCAAACAAAAGATACCTGTCACAAGTTAATATGGTTTAACACAAAAAGAAAATGTAAAAACCAATAGTTGCAGGGCAAAAACATTACTTCAAACAGCACAAAGCAAAAAAANNAAAAAAAAAAAAAAATGCAAATTTCAACTTCGTTGAGCGTCTACTGAACCCAGACATGAAAATAAATCGGTTGACACGAATTACTATATCACCTGTTATTTCATAAATTGTAACAAAAAACGATAAGACACACACTAAACCAAAACAGCATCCAAAACAAAAGATACCTGTAGGTGTCCGCCATGGGATCTGAACTCTTTTGAACTTTTTCCACGGAGGCTCCTTCATATCTGGAGAAATTTCTGACGGTTTAGCAGGTTTGGGAACATCATTATCAGCTCGCCTATCCTCCTTAAGTTCAATCCGAGCAACCAGTTTTGGAACAGGCGGTGGCAAACTGGCATTTGAAGAGGTACATCTGTTTTGACTCTCAGGCGCTACTTTTTCATCAGGACGAATCACAGTTTTCCCCTGTTTACTCTGCATATATTGAGCACGCATCTTTGCTTTCTGTATGTCATCAGCAGAAAGCGGGCGGCTTTGAGTCGTGGAAGTTGATCTCATGACCTGGGGACCCCTTGCAGTAGACCTTTGACCCGGATGCTCCACCATCTGAACTTTACGGCGTTCTTTCATGTCTTTAACTAGTTAAGGCATAAAGTACACCAGAACAAGAGAGTTGAAGAGAAAAGCAAGAAAATTGCATGTAGGAGGATTATCTGTTCTAAATTATCATTAGATCTCAAGAAATAAATCAAAGACAAATGAACCAAACACCGAACAACAAGCAATTCAAGAATGCAGCATCAATAAAAGTCGATCTTGTACAGGATTCCTAGTCAACTTGAAAAAAGTGAGTTGAGCCTGTTCTGTATCATCTGAAACTTACGCAGGCATATAATTCTGGCTTTTGGCTGGACTAATTGGGAATTAAAGCAGAAAATTAAAAATCTACGCTATATACTAATCCCAGCCAGTGGCACATTAAATGACAACACATTAAACAATATATACGAGTTGCCTACTAATTATCCATCATGCGATATCAGGATGACGGCAACTCTCAGAATTAAAAGTTGCCATATTTGTTCCACTTTTATAGTAGAATAAAGGGAGAGAGAAAAAAAAAATAAAATAAAATAAAATATATCACTGTTTCCTTCTGCATCAAGTTTTTTCTTCAGTCTCAAATTACATCAGAAGAACTACGAATTATTGCCATCTTTAAGTATGCACGTTTAGTTAACCAACTCGCTGACTAAAGAATTTCATTCATTCAATGGGGACACAATGACTCGCATTCACACGCCAACACAAAAAGATAAATTCTGAAACCTGGGAAAAGATTTATAAGTATATCAGCACTTCACCAGTCCGTATAAGGTGCAATACAGCCATAGATTGTGAGAAGTTACAAAAACTTATTTTGTTGGAATAATTTGTCCTAACATAATGAATAGGTATGAACCATATCTTATCAAATCAATGTGTAACCTTAATTGACTCAGTTCAATATGGCTTCAGAATTTAGTAAACACTAAGACAATAAAGTTTAATTTCTTTCAGTTTCATTCTGTTCAGGCCATACATGTTCCGTAATCATGCAATTGATCGCTTGCAATATTGTCAAGAGAACAACAAGAAGTAACATGCAGCTCAGGTATTATGCCCTTGAAATGTTGTTGATGTGGAAAAAGGGAATGCTTTGCAAAATGTCAAAACTTAGAAATGTAATTTAGAAATATAGTTCGATCCTCAGTTGTTCTACATAGCCTACTCATCTAACCTAATTACTTTTAGTCCGATGAAGTAACTCTAGAGTAGTGGGGTTTGAGTCAGAGTAGTTTCCAGCTTTCAGCTTGCTGATATGTCTTTATTTATTTTAGTCAATTTGATTGCTTCGTGCAGGAGTCAGGATCGCGGTTTAATTAAGTGTCGGTGAAAGTGTTAAAACTAAAAACCAATTAAGTTGACAATCAACACAACAGGATTGGCACGAGTGCTTAATAATATTAAGGTCAACTCAAGAAATCCTGCCTGACCCAAATAACCTTGGACCCTGAAATGGACCCTGCGGATACTAACACCCGAAATTCAAAATCGAACAACTGCAGGACATTGAACCTTTAGAAACAACCTTGCTTCTCCTAACAGTAATAATGAAAATGCCGTCCTAGTTGCCTCCACAACTTCAGAATAGACCAATCTTCAGATTAACAGACTGACTTAAAAGGAACACACGACAAAAGAAAGAGCATAAAGGAAACAGACCCTTGACAGTTTAAACATGTATATATACTAAAATATCCACATACAAACGTCAAAGACCAAGAAACAGGACCAAGTTTTAAGGGATCATTATTTAAGAAAAGGTTGGCATGTCTCACATCTAGAAGCACCCACTTCAATCCAAATAAAAATCCATGTAAAGTTCTCCGAGCATTCATAAATTAAATGAAGGATACTAGACGATAGAACACCTCGCCGTTTATTAGATTCATCTTCCGGGGCCATTAGCAATTTCATAGGCGGAACAGCATCAGACTTCCTGTGAAAGAAGTCCCAGCTTAAAATGCAAGTAGTAATAATACAATATGCAGACAATTGAGGTAAACAAAGTGATGAAAACACCATACCGATGGTTATCAGGATTGTCACCCAAGAACCTTAGAGTGTTTTCCTGAAATTTTAAGAATGATATTAATACTCATGGCATGCTTTGAACAAATATTATTTTACAACTAAACAAACACATACAGTGTTCCTATCTTTTAAGTCCCATGATTCATCTCCCATAACTTGGTGAATGCTGCACATAGAAACGCACAGAAGTTTAGACAAAATGAAAGGAGTATATTCCAAACGTAAGCAATCAATAGTTGTCTTGCCTTTGCTTCAACAGCATCTCATCCTCCAAATCGCTGGATGATTTCAACCCATTGTTTCTCTTCAAAGATAGCTTCTTCCCAAACATATTGCTCCACTTGGACAATAAAATTCTAGCCCTGTGTGAGATGTCTGATCTTCAAATCAGAATTAATGAGCCAACTAGCAGCAATGAATAAATACAAATCAAAAGTAAATTCTATTTTGAAACTCCTACATTCGTTTTGGTTGCATTAATTATGAAAAAAAAAAAGGAAGGCAGCATCATATAATCGGGGAATGTTGTACAAGTGGCAAACATAAAGATAATAGTTTATTAATCATATCATTTTAACCTCTTAATCATATCATTTTAACCTCTTAATCTATAGAAGATATTACTATCAGCACAGTAAGGATAATTTACTACTTCACTGTCCCAACATATATGAAAGCTCATAGATAATAAAGGAGAGGGCATCATAGGATTTCAAAGTAACTGAACACACCTGATGTCCGGTAACACCTAAGGCTATTAACACTTTGCAATACAGCAGACATATGCACAGGGAGAGCCTTGATCATTGGCAAGTTTTGAAACACCTGAATATAGGATGTTAGCATTAGAAACTTTGTCCATTGATTGAACTAAAGCACATGAAATATCAATTCATATCATGAGTTACCCTAAGAACCACACGGAGAAAGCTTGTTTGTTCTTCATTAGCAGCTTCACTTAACCACGTTGCTAATATCATCAGCCCACCTTCAGTCAAAAACCTGCAACCATGCAAGAAATTAGATCTCAAGAGGAAGGAAAGCGGTCCCGAGCTGTAATAGTAACATTCTGATGTAGTAAGTGTACCAATTCAGTACTGAAGGATTTTCTACACGGAGAATCCACTTCAGCAATTTCAACTGTCCAGAGAATGATTCTTCTTTCCTCATTGAAATAAAAATATTTTCAATAAATTGTCGATCTGACTCCTCCATGTCACATAAAGCCTCATTGCTCTTTGAGCATGAGGGCACTTCATTGACAATTGCAGGGACCATAGTATTCAGTGGGACAGGTTCTACTGGCATATTGGGATCCAAAGTTGAGACAATATCAGCATGCGTTCCATCACTGGCAGAAGATCTAATAACTTTCTCTTTAGACAATTTGGCAAACTTCCTCACTCTTGATCGCTGACCATTAAAAAAGTCACGAACCTTAAGAAAATAGAACCAATTGTTAGTTAATCATATTAAGTCTCAGTTCTCATGATAGGCTAACATCACACACTGGATAAGCAGAACATGAAAACATCAACAGAGTTCCATGGAGGAAAAAAAATCAAATCATTGAGAAAAAAAGATGGGCGGAAGTTTAACAGATGAAGATGAGAACCTGGGTAACTGTAACTCCAAATTGAGCACTAATCTCACGTGTTTCCCTCTTGCTAATTGCATCTTTGGTGGAGAATAAAGATTGCATATATTTCACAGCCTTGGGATTCAGCAAATCTCGAGGTCTCTTGCCTGCAAAGAGAGAAAGCTATTAAAATAATGCCTATACACTTATAATATAGTTACAACATTGACAAGTAAACAAAAAACTACAAGTCTACAATTTGTCATCTGAGCCCATTACTAATCAAAATGGTGTATAAGCACAGGCTTCAGAACATGGCGACATGCTGTTTATGTGCAATAATTTTGTGAATTACCGAGTGATGATACCAATCTTACGTTTCCGTGTATTCTACACAGTTTGCACAAGACCCACATTAACAAATAGAGCTGAATATGTAGAAATTCTCCAGAAGTCATGAATATTGTTAAACACACAATCATCAGTAGTCATTGTGTATACTTCTGTGTATTATATATAGTTTGTACTAGTCCCGCATTAATGGATAAATCTAAATACGTACATATACATACATGTAAATTTACCACACGAAAACCTCATATCAGCAATAAACTAACATATACAAACAGAAGACTCACCAATTTTGATGGATAAAGCCCCAGCAGCCTGCATTATTTTCCCAAACGAATCAAAATAATCAGTTAATGACGACAAGCACACAAAAAGAAATTGATATTTCACGTCAGGGACAGAACCCATAAAGGAAAAAAACCAAAAGAAAACAAACCATCTCTTGAGAAAGGGGATTGACGCCGGTGAGTTTGCATTGAGTGGCGACTATCTGCTGGAGCTTCTCAATCTGATTCTCGAACAGATCCTTCTGCGCATCCAACAAGTCGCCATAAGACTTCATGGGCACCGCGAGCTCCATCGTCCGAGCCTCAGGCAGAAGGTCCTTCAAATCAATTCCAACTGACCGATCGAGAAAATACGCGCATTTTGGGTAACAACAATAGAAATGACGAAAAAGTATAAAACAGCGAAACTGAAACAAGTGAAGAAATAGCTGTCGATGGTGTTGATTGAGCTAGAGTTTAATCAGGGATTAATGGGTGATGTGAGAATTTGAGATTTAGGGTTTGTGAGAGAACAAAATTTGGGGGAACGGTTTTCTGGAGGTGTTGTAACTTGTGTTCCCTGGAAGGAGACGCTGATTGTACGTAGTAGGGACAAATCACAAATGTGAGTTTTTTTTTTTTTTTTT